TGCTACTGCTACTGCTACTACTACACGACTACGACGTGTCTTGCGTCTGCAACTGCTACCAAGTAAGAATGCTGTTACGGCTGATGTCACCATGATGACAAGCACATCAGTTCCGTTACTTTCACGATTATGCCACCCCTAAACCCTAAACCCTAAACCCTAAACCCTAAACCCTAAACCCTAAGCCAAGGAGCCGTCACTTCCTCGCCGAAGCGGGTCCTTGCACAGATGGTTGCGAAGACGGGACTCTTCGCCGCTCCGGGGCTCTTCGCTGCTCCGGGGCTCTTCGCCGGTCCCGGGCTCTTCGCCGCTCCGGGGCTCTTCGCAAGTCCGGAGTCCTGATTGATACCGCGTCTGGGTGATTAAGGTCTCTGGCTTAGCTTGATCTTGGCATTTAACACGTAGAACCTGATTACGACTATAGTGACGATTCTGCTCAGCGCGATGGAACGTCATCATCATCCTCGTTGCTACTCGACGTCTACCACGACCATTGCGGCTGATGTTGCTGCTCTTACTGCACCAGTACTGCGAGCACCAACGCTGCTGTTGCTGCAACTGCAGCTGTTGCTGCTACTACCGCCGCGACCGCGACCACGCCTACTACTAAGTACTACTACGACGACGACAACGGCAGCGTCGGCCACGACCACGACGAACTGCTCTATCTTTACAGCGGGTGCTATATAGCTCGAAAAAATTTGGGATGTTTACTCCTCCTTTCCCTCCTACGGCTACTGCCGCTAAATCAAGTACGTACCACCACGATGACCACGACGACTACTACTGCGTGATGGCGGTTATTTCTACCATTCCTGTTTCCACTAGAGGTTGCATGGTCATCGATTTGCTGTCTGGGTTTTCACATACCTTTCTACTAATGTCTCAAAGGGGCCTCCTGCGGGCTCAGCTTCTCAGCCAAGCCGGAGAAAGCCTCGCCATGTCGATTTTCAAATTGGGATCTGGAGAGTTTTGGGTACAGGGTGTAAGCCATCAAGATAGCATCTACTTGGGGTTGAGGGCCCATGGCTCTGTGCGCACATTGTTGACCAGGTTTTAAGATATTGACACACACACACACATGTGTGTGTGTACGTATGCTTATGTGTGTGTGTGTCTTGGTTTGTACACTTCGTACGTCAGCGGCTGACGAAAAAGAGGACGCACGGAATCCTGAGATGTAAAAAATGCGAAGTTTCAGGGCTCAGTAGGATCAGGATGGTTTAGGGGCCCTAAACCCTAAACCCTTTACCCTCAGCCTTAAACAAACCCTAAGCCCAAAGCCCTGAACCCAACACCCTAGATCTTTGGTGGGCCTCCATGGTAGCACGAAGGAGGCTGCAGATCTCTTTCACGGACTCCCCCGACTCCGGGGCTGCAGCAGGCTCCAACCTGCTCCGGACCTCGGAGAGCGAGGGTTTAGGGTTTAGGGCTTAGGGGCTTCTGATTTGGGGAGGACCCTAACCCCTAAAGCCTAAACCCAAACCCAAAGCCCCTAACCCCTGATATCTAAACCTGAAACCCGTACATGACCCCGAAGCCTAAACCCTCACTGCATTTCGGGACTTAAGCTGATCGACTCCTTGAAACTAACACTACCTCGACTCCCTAAATTATTGGGCCTCTCCTCCGTGCCCCAGGCATGTAGGGTTTTCGGGTTTTGAGTTTAGGGTTACTAGTTTAAGCTCTAGAGAACTAGCTAAGTGTAGTTGCGGCTCTCTTCTGCTAGCCAGCCCGTGGTGGGCTCCAAGCAATGGCAACTCGAGAAAGAAGCGATGCGAAAAGTTAGGGATTTCAGGGGCTTTGGGTCTTCACGTGTTCGTTGAGATAAAGCTTAGGGGAGTAGCTTAGGGGTTAGGGTTCGGCTTAGGGTTCGTTACTAGTAGGGGTTAGGATGCGGGGCGCCCTAAACCATAACCTAAAACCCCAAACCCTAAACCTTAAACCCCAAAACTCTAAACCCCTAGCCCTAAACCCTAAACCCCAAAACTCTAAACCCCTAACCCCAAGCCCTAAACCCTAAAGCCCTAAACCAAACCCTAAACCCAAAACCCTAAACCCAAAACCCAAAACCCAAAACCCTAAACCCTAAACCCTAAACCCTAAACTAGGCCCCTGTATTAGAGAACCTCCAAGGGTTTGGGGATGGGGGCTTTGGCA